CCTGTGTGACAGCATGCTTATCACTGGTCAGTAAAGATCGATGACTCTGGGTACTGCTCCATTGGTTGACCATACTGTTCTGAAACAATAAAGTTTTGCTCTCGTTGCTTGAAGGGAAATCCCATAAACAAAAATCAACGTCATTACCATAACTCACAACCTAGTGGCATTTCCTCCTATAGAGTGTACGTCCACCCTTTTAAACTCGTCTCTTTAGAAGAATCTATATTAAATACTATAACCCATGGCAGCAAGTCATAGCCATGTTAACATTTAAAATACATAATCACCACGATGCTCTATGAGATGATGAAACTTTGATGCCCTTAGAGTCGAACAGAAAATATAAACCCAGAAGAACATAAGACCTGACACTAACCTGATTCTCAGCTTTCCAACACTTTAAAAATAATTTGTTTATTTTAAATAATGCTGCAATAGACAGAACACATATCCTATATATAGGGGTGCATATAGAGGATACCGTATGTCCGTGTTACTTCAAAAAAACAAATAAACCCTAATAATTTGTTTACATTGTCCTCTGTTCTGTCGCCTTTTCTAACAGATCTAATCTTTGTCATCATTGACGACAGAAACCCACATTATCTAAGAAACAAGGTTGACTCCTTAAAGATCTAAGACCACAATTAGTAAACCTGCAGGCCTATGACTAGATAATGATAATGTAACAGACCATTCAAGTATCGGCATATTAAGCAAACAAACAACATTAAATTCAGAATCATTTCCCACCAGCACCTGAAAGTGACACAGAAAACAACAAAAGGTCAAGAAAAGGAAGAGTGCATCTGTATCCCCAATGCCCGCACCCCAGCAGGAAGTTCTGTCTAGCTCGATCTTAAAATAAGTAAGTAATACTGTCAGTTAATTGCTACCTTACACTTCTTGATCTACACTCTGAGCAACACCAGTTGTGACCAGTTATTACAAAAGCACCAACCGTGCAGGCACTAAGACAAGAATATGGGAATTCTGCTGCTAAATTAAGACTTTCCTCGTGCTGGAGGCAGAGCAGGAATGGGTATCAAAAGTAAATCAGTTACAAATAATAAATATGATATAAGGACGTATAAATAATCAATTAAGTTTTGCAAACGATACTTTTATCCTTCTTAGCTGCAGAATCTAGTTTCCTCCTGGAGACAGGGACCAAATTCAACCACCATTGGGTCACCCTGAGCCCTTCTGCAGGTGCTGGGAAGGGGTCTGCAGATAACCCCTTTACAATAAAAACATATTGTGATGGAGAGTTCTGGAAGGCCAGGAGACAGCAGCAGACCGGCCTCCTACACTGGGTAGAAGGAGATTATCATTGATCGATTCTAACACTTCTATACCATTTCTAGCTATTCCAGCTATCTGGAGCTATGAGGGACAGGTAGAATAAAAACACGGCTTCTGTGTGTCAGGCTGGACAGGATCCATCACATCGCATGCCCATGACAGGATGCCTGCCCTCTTTGTTCTTATCTTGACTCCAGCATTAAGTGGCAGCTAACAGGGTCAGTGGGAACAAACTGATGCACTCAACTGTGAATGAAGATAGTTCCATCATTAGATACCGATTTCTAAAACCCCTATTCAAGGGTCATGGCTAATTTTTTATTGTGACTTCCTACCACTTGTAGTAGGAGGGCCCGATTTTCTGAGGACCCTAAATTAATGTTTGGAAACTTCTATCTTCTGTATTTCTCCTTATTACATTCCATGCCCATGTCCTCTCCAGGATTACACCCTGTCTTAACATGACAATCAAAAGAACAAGATTATTGTTTTCATTAACAAAGGAACTTTGGGGGAACCAGTTAAAAATGTCTGGAATCAGAACAAGGGTTTTAATTTAATACATTATTACTTTCTCTCAACAGCCCAACTGTTGTGATTAAGATTTTCCAGATGATGTCTAGACTTTTTCAAAGAACCTTTATTCTTACCCCCTCAGCAAAACCCTATGGCAGTGTTTCTCAATTTTTTTTTTTTTCATTATCATCATTCCTCCCTTCAAGAGCCTGTTTAGACTTTTTTTTTCCTAATCATGTCTCCTCCCTATGAAATGTTAACACTACAGATACACTGTCTACCTCTTTATATATACTGGCCCTTTGGAGGACCACAAACCATTGTAGTATTTAAGATTTTTTCACCCTCTAAGATCTGATTTTGCTACTTTGGGGCAATTTTGTCTCTCTTTGAGAATGCATGCTCTGTAACACTTAAGAGTAAGATGCCTTTTGAGGGGCTCCTGGGTGGCTCAGTCAGTTAAGCATCTGCCTTCGGCTCAGGTCACGATCCCAGGGTCCTGGGATTGAGCCCCGCATCGGGCTCCCCGCTCCGCGGGAAGCCTGCTTCTCCCTCTTCCCCTGCTTGTGTTCCCTCTCTCGCTGTCAAATAAATAAATAAAATCTTTTAAAAAAAAAAAGAGTAAGATGCCTTTTGAAAATTGCCCAAACTAACAACCCATTATATTAGTTTTTTTACTCAGTATATAACAATTTTTTTTAATCTAACCTTTCCCCCCACCTATTTTTGTTTGCAAAATGAGACTGACATTGAGGAAAGTGTTGAGCAATCCAAATTAATCAAAATGTGTGTGCATGTGTGTGCTGTTAGTAATTGCAAAACAGCTTTAACTAAAATATGAATAAATTGCTCCAGGTTAGTTTTCAAAATTCTGATAAAATAAAGCCTTTATCATATAGACTAGACAGATGTACAGAGCTTTAACAATGAAAACTAAAAGGAGAGTATTCTTTTAAAAAAATATGAGCTGCATGCCTTGGTTTTAGTTGGAATCTTGGGTTACCAGGCAATGGTTACATACTTTTCACTTTCTGTCCTTGACATCTTGTAACTGATACTTGGGAGGCTAAGGATTACAAAATTATGGCTATGAAGTCATGCAAATTATACATGGCATTTTATTCTACACAGCTGAGAGGGCATATAAAGTGCAAACGTTAACAAATCCAAAAACTCAAGTAGGAGAAGATCATCCCTGGCAGAAACATTAATGAGAGAAGCAAAACTATAAAAGTTTGGTCTTGAGCCTAAACCTTTTTTTTAAGTTCTAGTAAGAAAACTCTGTACTTTAACTAAGATGGAGGGCAAGCCACTGCTGGAATATTTTACATAAAAACACTGTGATAAAGTAATTCTGGAAACACAGGGGCATCTTTTGGCCAGGCGGTGACCCTGAGGCTTCCCTGTGCCCTCTCCACATGACTACACCACCTTGTAAGACTCGAGCACACTGAAATCCACAGCCTACTTATCACCAGAAAATACACTAGGTTTTTGTTGTTGTTTCAAAGTTCAAAAGCCTTGCTGTAAAGTCCAAATTAAGGGCATATCAAGAGAGAAACTGATAAGGGAGTAAGATGGCTGCTGTGAATTTACTGGAGAACATGTACTGTCAAGTCCAACAGTGAAGCCATTAAGAAGAGCTTGGTGAGCTCTTTGGGGGATGTGTTAGAACTTTCAGCAGGCAGACAGAAAGAGAGGTGGTACTGAGGAAGGGAAAAACCCAAAGACTATGGGTCAGTTCAGGCAGATGGTGGAAACAGCTTCAGCTTCCTGGCAACATCAGCTGCAGTTGGGAATGAAAGAATGGATCAGGTTCGGGTCTTGGTGGTAGCCCAGAAACCAAACAAGCTCAGTTAAAGGGTCTGGGACCCACTGACCCGGGTGTCCTCCAGAGCAAAGGAGAACAAGCAAGCCTGCTTGGGACGCCGCTCAGGTTAGCTGGGCAGCCTCGCTTCTCGCAACAGCTGGAAAGCCTTCTGTGCGGGGACACCGGGAGCACATCCCCGTGCGGTGCTGACGAAGCCCCGGCTGTCCCCGTCTCCCGGACTCGGGGCTTCCGCACCCGCGGGGGAAACTCGCTCTGGGGACATGAAGGGCAAACGCTGCACGCGGCCATCTCCCCGAAGTAAGTAATACGCGAGTCCTCAGTTCAGACACGACTGCAGGACCGAAGGACATCCTTCCCCGTCCCCTCCGGATACGATAAAAGTGGAGTAGGTCGGCCAGAGCGCCACTGCCGAGCCGCTCCGCCCGTCGCAAACGCCCATCCATCGGGTTTCCAGCCCAAGGTCGGGCGCCTGGCCGGGGCGGCTGCAAGTCTGCGGCTCGGGACCCTGGGGTCGGCGGCTGCAGCGCAGGGGGGACTTCTCGGGGCGCCCGGAGGCCCCCGCGAGCCCCCGCCGCCGGCACGCGCGCCCAGGCCCCCAGGCCCCCCCGGGCAAGCAGACGCGCTCGGGCCGCCACGAGCGGAGCCCTCGGCAGGCTCCGGACGGAAAAGTTCTCTGACGACAACGACAGAGCGGAGGGACTCCTTAAAAACCAGCACCGAAGGAACCGAAAGGCGCGCCCTCACCATCTCGCCTGAGGCTGCCGTTGCGCAGAGCCCTGACCGAGGCGCCCTGCGGCGCCGCCCAGGCGTCCCGGCAGCCGCAGAAGTTCGCGCAGACCAGCGTGTAGACGAGGCCGAGCGGGCGCATCGGGACGCGGGGCCGGGGCCGCCCGCCGCCGCCTGCGCTCCCGGAGCCGCTGGCCGCGCTCGGCGCGCGCGTCCTGCTCGCCCGGCGGTCGGAGCGGCGGGCGCCGCCCTGGCCTGTGCCGCCGCGGGCCGAGCGACGGCGGCGCGCCCAGCCCGGGTCGGCGCTCGTCCGCCCCCTCCGGCGGCAGCTCGCGCGGCGGGGCGCGCGGGCCCGTGCGCCCTCCGCCGCCCCGCCGCCCCGCCCCGGCGGCGGGCCCCGGGGGCGGGGCGGCGGGGGGGGCGGGACGCGATGGGAGGGGGCGGGAGGGGGCCCGGCCCTGGCCCCGCGGCCGCCGCGCACCCGGCGCGGGGCAGCGCGCAGCCCGGGGAGGCGCTCGGTCCCAGCACGTCTGCCCCGGCGGCCTGCTGGTCCGCCCCGGGGCCGAACTCCCGCCCTGGGGGGGGGGGGGGGGGGGATGGGGCCTGCGGTTGGGCCGGAACCAGACTCCGCTCCTTCGCGACCTCACGAGGTGAGAGCGCGGGCCAGGGCAACGTAGGGGGCCTGATGCTGAGCCCTCTGAGCTCCGGTACGGCCGTGACCTTAGCCGAGTCGAGGTGATGTTCCCGCCAGTGGGACGGCGAGCAGACGTCCTTCTTATCTCAAGGGGCTCCAGTTGTGATGGCCCCGTGTGGTGAAGGGCACAAGAAATGGTCAGGGGTGCTCTCCTGTGCCCACTCCCACCCCCTGCGCAGTAGAAGGGGCTACAGGTCAGGGTGCGGGTGAGCTAGGGGCACACTGAAAGGTGAAGTCGACAGACCATTACATTCTTTTTCTTCAAGGTCCATAGCAAGAGGCAGGGAGCATCAGGCCTTTGGGCCTCCCTCCTCTCGGTATCTGGGAGCCCAGAGGCCCAGAGGAACGGACTGTGGATTCTAGGAACTTCTGCATCATGCAGCTATCTCCCCGGGGTAAGGAACTGTATTGGGAACGCAGTAGGTCTCGGCTCTGCTGCTTACCGGCTTTGTCACCTTGAGCGAATCACTTGACCTCTTGAGCCTCAGTGTCTTTACGTAGGAAAGGAGGGTAGCAACTTTGTATGGCTGTGGAGGGTAGCAGTCTGTATGGCTGTGGAGACAATTATATGAAATGATTTTGGCATTCAGCTTTGTAGCTGAATTAAAATCCAAATTTACATAATTTCTCAGCTGCTCATTGATGAGAACTAAAAGAGACATTTACTAGTAGTCTCTTTGAGGCCTTCCAGCCCCTGAAAGTCTGCGGTATGAGAAGTCAGTGATACCCAGATAAAGAGAGCCGGGAGCAGCTGAGAAGGGTACAAAGTTCGGGAAGAAAGTCATCTGACAACTACACTGACCAACATGGACTAGGATACCTGTGTTCTTTCCATATACGCAAAGATTCATGTGGTTCATCCCCTGGCATTTTGTCTAAAACAGTAGTTCACAAACTGCAGGTTTGTGGGTTGTGAAGTCAATTTCAAGACCAGCAATGATTACTTTTTTCTATTAATACTTTATTTTTCCAGAAAATTTTTAGGTTCACAGCAAAACCCAGTGAAAATTACGAAGATGTCCCATATGCACTTTGCCCAAACACAGGGGTAGCTTCTGCCATCATCAACAGGGCTGACCACAGTGGTGTATTTGTTACAGCTGACGATCCCACGCTGACACATCATACTCACCCATATATTTTAATGAGAGTCAGAGACTGATAAGACTGAGACTAATTAAAGTATATTATACCATTTTTAAAAAGTGATTGAAAATGCTCATTAAATTTCAGACCTAGACCCTGAAATGAGAATATAGGAAAAATGAAAAAAAAATGTGCAAGTGGTTTATGTTGTAAAAGTATCAAATGCTAAAGAGGATCATTTATCATAATATATAAAATACTGAATTTAAAGTATTCAAAGTAGTGTTGCCCAAGATACTAATACTGTGTAAAGGCATTGTAAATTCATAATGTCAAATATTGAGAATAGTAAAGGATGTCACATGGAATCTGCATTTTTTGATCTTTAATGTCAGTAAATACCCAAGGTCAATGATAAAACCAAAAAACTGGGGCGCCTGGGTGGCTCAGTCGGTTAAGCGACTGCCTTCAGCTCAGGTCATGATCCCAGGATCCTGGGATCGAGTCCCGCGTCGGGCTCCCTGCTCAGCGGGGAGTCTGCTTCTCCCTCTGCCTCTGCCCCTCCCCCTGCTTATGTTCGTTCTCTCTCAAATAAATAAAATCTCTGAAAAAAAAGAGTAGGGAGCTGTACGTAACCAACTCTTCTGAATCTGGTTTTCAATATTACCTAATTAATTCTTACAAATGAGGTTGATTACACCAACTAATGTATCATTGCACACAGAAGAGGCACTTGAGGAAGATATATTGAGAGACTGAGGAAGGTCTGGTAACAAGATTAAAGATGAGATGATTCAATTTTCTTTTTACCCGTATCTTAAACTAACTTAGCAAAACACTGAATTTGACATCGTGTTTTTAAATGCTTACAGGCCAGTTAGAAGAACGTGAGGGAACATAAAGAAGTCAGATTTATAAATACTTACTGCTGTTCAGAATAAATCAATTATTCTATATTTAGCCATTGTTCAATGACATTCATATAACTATAAAAGATACTTCTGTTTAGAAAACATTTTTAAATATGAGAGCAATTTATAATAGGTCCATGCAAAGTGACATTTATCCCAAACATATATATTCTCACAGTAATGATTTGCTAAAAGGGTAGGTTAGAATGTGACACGATTTTTTATCATATATTCTTTTCCTTACATAAACAGAACACAAGAATGGTGTTTTCCACTACATTTTCAAATATGCTTCTTTCAGGAATTCATAAAAGTCACAGTGGAAAAGGAACGAAATGGGGCGTGTCTCATTTCTGCAAGTGGCTCATACCAGTACCTTTTTTTTTTTTTTTTTTTTTTAACTAAACTTCTCCCAGCCTTTAACTTATAACTCAGTGCAGGACCTTTCTCTTGACTATAGACATCATGTTATGAAGCCTACTCTCTTCAAAGAGGACATCCCTGGGTTAGTCATCCTCCACTCACCGATCTCAGAAAAAGCAGAACACTCTGACATAAAATCCTAATTTCTGCTCTGCGAATAGACGACTGATCTTTGGCAGTATTGAAGTTCATGGGACGTAGATCTGTTCCTGCAAAAGGAGAGTGTTATAGTAGATGACCTTCAAGAATTCTTTTGGAAAATCTATTTTGTTTAATTTGTTAAACCTCATCATCATCTCTCTCTCTAAAACCATAGTCTACATATGTAGCTTTATCAAGTTCAAATGCATTTAAATAGTTTTTAGAAATTGTGAGTATATACAAGAACACAACATACAGGAAAGTTTTCTACAAATTTTAATGAGCTGACATTTGGAATTTCAATCACTAATATATACGGTAGTCCCTTCTGCTTATCTGTGGCTTCGCCATCAGCTGTTTCAATTACCAGCGGTCAACCGAAGTCCAGAGACTGTGATTGTCCTTCTGACGAATCTTTCAAAGGTCAATCGTAGCCTAGCTCTACGTCACAGCGCCCCGCATCCCTCATGCACCTCGCGTCCCCTCAGCTCATCATCTAGGCACTTGATCATCTCCTATCCTCATAAAAAGAGTGAGTCCAGTAAGATATTTTGATAGAGACAGAGAGAGATCACATTCCCATAACTTTTATTACGGTGTCCTATTATAATACTTCTATTTTATTATTATTGTTGTTAATCTCTTACTGTGCCTCATTTATAATTAAACTTTAACGTAGGTATGTACGTATAAGAAGAAACAGTATTTATAGGGTTCAGTACTCTCTGTAGTTTCAGGCACCCACTGGGGTCTTGGAACTTATCCCTTGTAGATAATGGGAGGACTCCTGTAATAAACTGATTAAACAGGTTGGCTTATCATCTAATATTAATAGTTACTTTTGTTTTCAAAATTATATTTTCTTTAGAGAAATCAGTGATTCTAATGCATAAAAATATAGAGAGCGGGGATATGTTTTAGTGGTGGGAATAACTGAGGAGATTAACTACAGTTGATTAAAATTGTGACAGATTCAGAGAAGAGACAAACTCTGGTGTTTTAAGACAGTTAGCAAAATCATTTTGACCTATGATTTGGCTCGGAAAAACTGGATTAAACTCAGTTGATTTTGTAATTGAATAAAAGATAATGTTTGAATAGTTGGTGCCAAAAACTGAAATTAAATATTCATGAGATGACAAACCATGGTGAGTTTTCTAAATAGTTCCAAATGATTCGAAAGACCCAGAATATCAACATGGTTACAGAATATTTTATATCAGGTATGTGCAAAATGTGCCATTAAATTATGTTTACTCATTGACAAGAAGCACATCATTTTTCAACCCATTCAATGAGTGTCTTTTAACATTTTCCTTTTGTTAAATTCTGTCATATTTTTAACTGACTCGTTCGCTACATGTAGCATAGTTTTCCTTTTGTCTCCATTATTATTAACAGTAAAATAATGTAGACTTTTTAAAGCACCTTTTCTTAAAAGTATCACATTCTCTGTAAAAAGTGTAGAAATGACTGAAATTAGGGCTCTTAGGAGGACTGAGACTCACTGACTTATTTAATTTCTTTCAAAATAACATTAATCTTTTCCTCTTTTCAATTCTTGGTGGGGGAGCCCATGCTCTGAGCAGGGCCCTTCCTCAAGAGGCGATGGTACTGAGTTCCTTCTCGTCAAGGACTTTTCTTTAAAATTATAATTGCAATGGCCCATACTAAATGTATAGCAAAAAATACAACTGTTAGATCTACTTGATCAACTCAAATGCAAGCCGATTTCTATTTTCTGAAGAAAATTCTTATACATAGTAATACAATCATAAGTCCAGGTGTGTTCAGTTTATCCTACACGCTTATGCTCTGTACATAATACATGTATGCGGTCACCACATGCTGTCTAGATTCCCACCCAGCAGTGTCAGGTACGGTTTCTCCAGCCAACCTGCTGGCATGTTTTGAGCACTAACTTCCAGATTCGATCTTTAAGAACTGGTTGTAGTGAGACTATCACCTTGACTCTTTGACAACTAACAGACCCAGTCAGTCAGTCAGCTAGTCTGTCCTGTCAAGCATTAGTTTCCTTTTACTCCATTGAATAAACCAGTGATTCAGCTTAATAGAATGAGTCACTGAGTTATATGTCTGTCATGGAAAAGAATCCCTATATCTATAATTTTTCTTCAGCTTAGTTATATGTTTTATTTCTATTTATCCATTCTCGAGCTGCATTATCTAAATTTAAGGTTTCAAAGATGAATATGTTGCATACACTGCAGAACTCCTTCCTTAATTGATCTGGGATGTCTGCCAGTCTCCTTTAGAATCCTGCACTTTTATCTTCACAAGATGCGCTTATATCCAGTGAACTGTCATACTTTGAGTTCTCTTCATTTCCTGAGCAACAAATTGGTATTCAGTTCCCTTTCCTTGAGTGAGAATTTTAATCCAATCAAGAAAATATTTCTCTATATTTATGTCCTGTGGAATTTCATATTATACATTTATTATTTTCCATTGAGCCCCTTTTGAATTTATTAATGACAGTATTTAAAACTTGAGTGAGTATTTAACCCTTAGTAATGACCAGATTCTTTATTCTTAGCCAACTAATTTCACCATTTGGATGTGTAATTCTCCTCCATCAAGGAGTTGCTTTTGAGGGTTTGAGACCGAGGCCATCTTTTGTGTTCTAAAATCTCGGTTATCTTTCCTGATTTCCCTTCTTACATCTTCTCTACTGAAGAAATAGCAGTGCACCGTGGAAGAGAAAAAAGTATTGAAAGTGTTGCAGAAAATGAATAATAAAATTTACTTTTTATAAAATTTTTTTATTTTGAGACAGAGAGAGCATGAGTGGGGCAAGGGGCAGAGGCAGACAG